GTTTAAAGCCTCAGCTTTCTCACATGAAACAAAGCTGTCTTGTAAATATTTTGTGGAAGTGAGAAACTACAAAAATTGCTATCCCAATGTTGTTGCACAGCCATAATTTAATATTCTCAATTTTATAAATCTGTTAATTTAATTAATATTTCATGAAACCATTTACACGGTATCAGAAATATACAAAGAATAAAAAACCTCAAATTTTGTTTTTTAGAAAGAAGCACTCAACATTTTCTGATATATCTGTCTTGAGATTCTATGTGTATTTCTATGTACATTTTAAAATTCAAAGTATGGTACCCGTATGTTGTTTTATACACTTCTGTTATTTTATTATAAATAACTTTTCACTGTTAAAGAAAATAATTTATATAATTACTAACTGCTGTATAGTGTTTCCATTTTTCAAAGTAGTTAGTTAACTATTGCATTGATAATCATAGGCTGTATAAGAAGGCAGAGAAAATAAATAAAAATATACAAATGAGAAATAAATATTAAAATTTAAAGAAGTGATTGCATAGAAAAGTCCAGACTTGTACATTACTAAAGTATAGAAGAATTTAGCAAATTTATTTCTTAAAGGCCTAATATTTTTGTTGTATTATTTTAGTCAAAAGGAATTGAGAAATTTAATATGAAAATACTTACAAAAAATCAAAATACGTATGAACAAAACTACAGAAGATGTACAAAGATATTAGGGGGAATATTTTAAAACAATCTTAAAATATATTAAAGAAGGATCAGTGCTGGGTGCAGGAGTGGACTTGGCCTCCTAGATTTAATAATGAAATTCAGCCGCATAGCTGGACACAAAGTCAACACTCAAAAACCAATAACATTCCTGTACACTAATAACAAACTAACCAAGAGAAAAATTAGAGAAGGCATGCCTTTCACAATAGCAGCAAAAAAAAATGAAATACTTAGGAATCAATATAACAAAGGAAGTAAAAGATGTTTACATTGAAAACTACAGTACTCCACAAAAGGAGATCGAATGGAAAGACATCCTTTGCTTGTGGGTAGGAAGAACTAACTTGGTAAAAGTGGCCATACTCCCCAAATTGTCATACAAATTTAATGCAATCTCAATTGAAATACCAATAGCTTACCTCACAGAAGTAGAGAAAGCATTTCTAAAATTCATTTGGTACCAGAAGAGGCCCAGAATAGCAAAAACAATTCTGGGCAACAAAGGCAAGGCAGGAGGCAACATGATTCCTGACTTGAGATTATATTACAGAGCTTCTGTGATAAAAACAGCATGGTATGACAAAAACAGACCCTACAATCAATGGAAGAGGTTAGAAGATAAGAATTAGATTTTCCAGCATAAGACTACTAAATACTTTGGGGATATGATGCTTAATAACCCGTAAAAGAGGATTTCCACCTCATTACCAGGTGTTTGGTCCACCACATTTAATAAGAATAGTTCTTGCTATGAGCCTTCGTGTATTCGGTTTCCAGTCTAGAATAACTTTTCTTTGTCTCCTACATTCCACCTCCCCATTTCCTGGTCATCTTTACTTATTTTGAGTAAAAGGTCATCTGCTTCAGTCTGTTCAGTTTAAACTGCTCCTACTTGGAGACCAGAAAATTTTACCAATCATCACAAGAAAATGTTATCTTATACTCTTGCTATAGGCTCTTGTACATCCTGTGCTTATTTTACCCTTATTTTAGGATATGTGCTGCCGAAGTGAGCACTATTTTACCCTTATTAAGTAGCCCTTACTATACACTCTTGTGATTAGTGGCCAGTCTTGTTATGCTCTAGTCATAATTAAGTCAGAGGCTGGTCTTGTTAGTATGCCTTTTATCTATAAGTTCCTATATATTTAAGAATGCGTAACAAATATCTGTACAATTAAAAATTATAGGATGAGAGGTGATGAAATGTAATTGTAATAAGCTTGTGAAGACTACAATTACTCTGTGCATTGACTGCTTTAAATGATTGTAGAGCTCTCAAGGAAACCATAGTAAATTTATAATACATTTAAAATATTCTACTGTTTGTTGTAGATTTTTTAGAAGTCAGTTTTCAAGCTAGAACTTAAAGAAGCATGCAATAATGCCCTTTTTCTTTTTCAAAATATAGGAGATGATGCTGTGTGTTTCAAACAGATGAGGGATAAAAGCAGTTTCTAAACAAATGCTGTATTTGGAATGAACAATGTGTTGTTTAATCTGTAACTGTTTACGTGGTTGTTTTGAATTTTGTATCACAAAGTTAATTACATTAAATAATAAAATAATATGTAGATTTTTGCAATGTATAAGCATGCTTAGTCATAAAAATAAGATGAAGTATTTTTTTTAAAAACTCTCTCTACATTAAGGTAAATTAAGAAAAAGAGATGGACTTGTAATAGTTTTCTGATGAATGAATAATGTGTCTTCTAACTTACACAGAAAAAAATAACATAGCTATTTCTTAGATAATATATTTTGGTACAGGGATCGAACTCGGGACTTTGCGCTTGTGAGGCAGGCGGCGGCACCACTGAGCTAAATCCCCAGCCCTCTTAGATAATATTTGAAAAGGAAGTCTTATTTAACTTGTAGTCATAGTTTTCATCTACTTAGTGAACTATATTCAAATATTTTAAATAAATGACTGAATAGAGTGGGGCAAATATAATGAACATAATACAAAGACTATGGCTGAGGAGCCATGATCCTCTCAACTTGTAGATCTTACTGGAAATCTATAGGATACATCATTGCTAGTTATTAAAATTCATATAAGTGTATTTGGAATTCATAAAGTTAATATACCATAAGGTAAACCATTTTTAACTAGTTTTTACATACTTGAATATTTAAAGTATTTTAATTTCACTTGAGATTAAAGCTCTGAAAAATAATCTTATTGACAATAATTAGCAATACTCAGCTGCTGTCACACAGAGGGAAGTGGAAGTAGGAAGCTAGAGTTTAATGGGTACAGAATTTGGGTTTAGGAAGATGAAAAGCTTCTGGACATGGGTAGTGGAGATGACCACAGACCTATATGAGTGTATTTAATACCACAAAACTGTAGATTTAAAATGATTAAAATAACACATTTTTATGTATACTTTTTCCACGATAAGAAGGAAATGAATCTTGGCTTACAGCCAGGTAATTGCTGTGGAGAAACTATGTGCATCTGTTTCTCCTCATCTATTTGGCAGAATCCATTGTAGTTTGGATTTGAGGTGGGTGCTTTTGTATATTTAAAAAAATCAGAGTAAGTTACTTTTGTCTTGTTTTAGTAATAATTATTGTGTAAAAACATTTTTAGAGAAAAAGTTGATTATCATAGGAGTTTATCGTTCTGCTGTGGTTTCTAGAAGGAAAAGAAATCATAGTTACTCTTTCCATACATCTTCCCACTGAAAATTTTTTAAATTTCACGTCTTTCTCTTTAATTTCCCCATTTTCTTTATATGTATCATGAAAATAGAAAGCTATGAACTGATTTTTGAAGAGCACTGAAGACACTGAGTGAAATAGAGTAGGAAGAAAAAATAGGCTTCAAGATCAGAGCACTAGACAAGGATTCAGCTGACTTGGGTTCTGAGTTTTCCCTGGTCAGCCCCAGGTATCCTAGAGCATTAGCTTTTCTATCATAGTATGGGGAAAATAAGGGCTTCTGTATTCACATTATGTATGGGTTAATGCATGTGAGTGTGTTTTACAGATTGTAAAGTGATAAAAGAATTGAAGGTGGCATTTTTATTTCTATGGTACTACTATTAATAATTTGTTTCATCAATGCTTTCTGTGGTATAGAATGAATAAAGCATATAAATGATGTTCCTGTTTTGACTGCATGCCAAATTATGTCAGCCTAGGGATAAACTGAAGCAGAGAGACTGCTATGATTTTTTTTTAATTTCTCTTATAGTTTCTCTCCATCTATGCCCCGAGGAAGCAGTTTGCTCAAAAACCATTAAATCCATATTGATATATATTTAGAGAGAAAGGTTTTCATTTATTCACAGTTACCTTTGGGTTAAATTCATTTGAAAAAAGAAGAGGAAAAAACAATTGTTGAAGAGGGCTGTACATTAATTTATGAGAAATAAAATGGAATGTTATACAGCTGTTTGTGCTAAATATTTGCATTTATAATTATTTGTAGAGTGTGTACAACATGCTATTGATGAAAAATGTATGTGAAATATTTGCTATAGTGCAAGAAACATGCTGTGAGGCGTGAGAATTCAAATTATTTTTCATTAAAGGCAGAGTTACAGTGTATGTTTGTGTGTGTGTTGTGTGTTTGTGTGTGTCAGTGTTTCTGTATGTTTGCCTATTTACAGAGGGAAATAGGCAAAGATTCTTCCTTCTTTTATACTCTAGTAAAGGTTTATATTGCTTGAAAGAGATACTGTTTATTTTCTTACTCTACCTCTTGTGAGGTATAGAACTCATTGTGTCCTGTCATTCAATAGCTTAAAGTACAAATGCTAATTTATTGCCAGACTGCTGCATTGTGATTTGCATTCCAAATCAGACTGCAGATCCCCCTTATAAATTTCTATCCTGTTTCCCTTCATCTGGAATTCCATCCTTTCTTTTATCTCTCTACTCATTCCCCAATAGTGACCCTTTAAAGATTCTCTTTCAAGAGATTCCCATTTGAAATCAGCAGCTTTAGTTGTCTAAAATCATAACAATAAATTACAAAGACATCAATAGATTCTTTTCTCCCTCATGATTTTCTCTCTTTCATGTAAGAGTCGTATGGCACTAAGTAAAATACTTAAACCACGTAGCTGTAGCTTTCAGGCTTAAAGGTTTAGACTTGTTCCTTTGAAAACTCACGCTTCTATTTCTTTTTAAATCAGAAAGATGTGAGCTTACAGGTCTTCTCTTAATAATAACCTTTACAGATGAACCCTGAAATAGTATAATTACATCCCTTCTTGGCACCTTTAAATCAAATTAACTAGATACTTAGGAGAGAAAAGGAAAACACACTTTTGCAACATATCTGACTGGATGAGAAGCAAGTGCTGCAGCATAAAGAACTGACGGGAATCTGGGCTTTCCCACTCTGGTAGCAAAGGGGGGAATTATGAGTTGGTGGTCTGCTTCATGTTAGGAAGACACCCCTCCATCTGTTCACAGCTCAGCCTGTTTCCATTTAAAGCCCAGATTTCAATACAAACCTCAAATTTCTTTTCCCCATTTTAAATGCAAAGTAAGCCTTGTGAATCATAGTGTCTCTGCTCCTGGAATTCAGACCACATTTCCCCCCAAAATTTTCAGGCTGTTTGTTTGAATACCTGCTTACTGTGGTACACAATGGGCAGCTTTGAGAAGAAAAATTGATAATCTTCACGGAAGAGTAATTTGAATGAAATTACACTTGACAGCCAGTCTCCAAGCAAACAAGAGGAGCTAGGGAGCCTAGCTAAGCTCTAAGGACTTGCCCAAGCCACTGCTGTTGGAACTTGCCAGGGGAAAAAAAAAAACAAAAAAAAAACACCAGTTTTTTCAACATCTAATTGAGCTTTTGATTAATTCCGTGTAGCAGATCCTACTGAAGAAAGGTAGCCATGGAAGAGAATATGGAAGAGGGACAGACACAAAAAGGTACTGTGCTAAAAGGGTTTATTTGTAACTATTTTTTAGTTTCCTTGTTTGCTTTAGACACTTGCCAGTAAGGCTCATGAATGTTCCTCTTCTGGAAGGCATCTTTTCTCCTTCTCCTTTAGTCTGTTCCTCACTTGCAGTAATGTCTGGCCGAAATGTTGTCATTATTTGCGCATCTTTTCAGTTGTACATATCTAAATGCAGAGTCAAGTATTAGTGATGAGAGCATTGCGGCATTGCTGTGAATTGTTCTTTAGACCAGTCTTTGTTAACCTTCATTTATTTCATGTTTTCATGGTTGTCGAACTTGGTCAAAGGATTGTCAGTAGGAGCCAACAATACAATATTTGAAGCAAATCGCAGTTAAAAATCTGATGATGTAACCGTTATCAATACCTTTGCGTGGCCATCTGATAGAACAAAGATCAACCCCATTCATTATTTTTGATTTGTGCGCATTTAAAAAATCTTATTTTTCCTTTGTATGAATGCAGTGCAGTTTTCATATAAATTGAGCACAAAGCTCATGGATTTTCAGGGTGTATAGTGTTGTTAAGGTTTTCCTTTCGATGTGATTGAACCTATGCAACTTCTGGGTAATATATATGAAGGTAATTTTCTGACACAGTTTAAAGGTCGTGTAGGACTATCTGGCTGTGTGAGTTAAAGAGAATTTGACACTTTTGTAGCTTTAAATTGGTCAAATATTGCAATGTCAAAAAATTCAAATAGCTCTAAGTTTTTTTTTAATGTGTCAAGTGGTAGCTTCAGAGGGAATTGGCTTTCCCCCAGCATAGGCAGCATTTCCTTTCATGTCTGCTCTCAGGCTTATGTAATGTTAGAGAAAATGCTCTTGTTTTCTTAGGCGTCACACAGTAACACAGGTAATACTGCCCAAAGATAATAATTAAAGGTAGTATGGAAAAAAGGGGTTAACTATTAAAGTAGATTTTAAATGTAAGTAAATGCATTGTTTTTTAAAAGACTAATTTGTCTGATAAAATAGATAGTTTGGAAATACAGTATATTTTCTTATATTTTAAGGTATTCAGATACACTGAGTCTCTTAAAATGTGCATGCATACACAATTTGAGGTATATGTGATATGATATAATATATATATGAGACACTGATACTGATATTGAAAGGTTTTATATAACCAGTAGAGAAGGATGATAGACAAGCTAATCTCCAAATTTAAGCAGTGTTAATGACACTGTAATTAAAACCCAATAATCTACCTAGATATAATTTGATCTATTTTTAAATTAAAACATCCCAACTCTATTATATACACAAATAACTTAAATGTCCATTTATAATTTTGAATGGAAGATTTTTTTTGATAATTTCTGCCCTTACAAAATCTTGTAATGGACTCTTTTATATTATAAATGAATTATTTTAACATCTCTTTCCAGCACATACTGTTACTGGTTCTTGGCTATTCAGTTTGTCTAAGGAAAGACAAGCTGATTATTTTATATAGAAAAATGATATTCATTACACTAAATAAAAACTTCACTTAAACCATGGATTGTGGTAACAGATTGAATGTATCTGAATAAAACTTATAAGATGAAGGACCAAGAAAACTATATATGTAGTTGTGATTTTTTTTTTCTTACGGTAATACTGAAAAATGTTTTTCTTGGTGATGGGTTCAATAGTGGTGTTAGAGGGAAGATTCAGTCAGAGGGTCTGTCATCAGTGAAGTGCACATAGGTGAATTAGGAACAGTGATGGAAAAAATTGTAAATCAGAAAAATTAAATTCCGATTTTTAAGTAGATAATGGTAAAGCAAAATAGCTATGATTTATTTTTTTTCTTGAGAGAAATAAGGTTCAGGTTTTTAAATTTCTGATGTTTTGTTCATCTTTGCCCATGACACCTGTTCTACATAAGCTTGTTGTTAGAAAGTTACATTTGAATATAAATGATCTTTCTGCATGTAGGGGAAGGGAAATGACATGAAATTTAATAAGATCTAAGTTGGAGGAGCTACATGAAAAGCAGAAAGGATTGGAAATTTTTTGAGAGTCTAAGTGGGCAGATTTAATGATCCATCTGCATTGAAGGAAAGCAGCACTTTGTGTTATTTTTTATCCTGTTTTTCCTAAACTATGTAAGATTTGCTTTTACAATTTGGATACTACAGAGTTTTCTTCCATTTGAAAGATGCTTTCTGGTTTCTTGTTTTAATTTAATGCCTTTTTATACTACATAATATACTGATTCTTGACCAGCTTATTTAAGGAAATATAAACTGATAATTTTATACAGATAAATGATACTTATTATAATAAATGAAACCTTCAATTAAATTGTGGATTGTGGTAACAGGTTGAAAATGTCTGAGCAAACCTTAGTTAATGCAGAAAACAAGAAAATGATGTAATTAGTTGCGATGCTTTTTTTTTTTTAAGTGACACTGAAAATCTTTCACCTCTCTGGATGGGGTTATAAGCTATTCTCCTGTTACAAATCAGAAGGAATTAATATCAGTGTTTTCCTATATCATCTTACAAATTTATCTGGAATATACAAAGGAAGCAGTAGTTTCACTATATATATATATATGTATGTATGTATATATATATGTATATATATATGTATGTATATATATGTATGTATATATATATGTATGTACATATATATGTATATATATATTGCTTATGGACTTAAAAAAATAAGGCAATTAAGATAAGTACTAACTTTCACTCTGATTTTGATGATGTGTTCAGCCCAGGAGAGTGGATGTTTTAACAGTGTGTGTTACTTCATTAGCCATTCTGTTTAATAAACCATGTTTTGATGTGAGTCTAATATGAAGGTCATTATCTGTTGCTCTGTCCATTTCTGGAGCCTCACCAAAGGTGAGTATCTCATTGTATTGAAGGAATTCTAGTGTTTTAAGAAACACCTAGTTTTTGAGAAAAGTACTTTGTAAATGGAAGTCAGTTACTTTAGCTTGTATTCAACCAAAACAACAGTGTTCTAGTATTTTTTAAAAAGGAAAAAATAAAAACAGGCTCTCAGGTATGTCCATGCTAAATCTATCATTACTCTCATCAGAAGTCAAGATACATTGGGGCCAAGTTATGGCAGTGAGGGCTCCAATTACTGTAGATAAGTTAAGCAATGTTCAGAACAAGCTTTCTGTGAAGATTTAAAAAGTAATTTCTCTTTATTCAGTTTTGCTTTCAATTGTTTGAATTACCATGACCAACTGAGGTCTGAAAATATTAAATGGAAAATTCCAGAAATAAAGAACTTATAAATTTTCATTTTCATTTGGTTCTCAGTGGCATGATGGAATCTTATGCAATTCTTGTCAATTCTGCCTAGAATATGAATCTTCCTTTGTCCAGCATATCCACACTATATGCCCTACCCACTCAATTGTCACTTAGTAAACATCTTGATTAACAAATAGACAACTATCAATCTTTAACTGTCACAGTATCACAATGCATGTGTTTGAGTAACCCTGATTTATTCAATAATGGCCCCAAACACAAGAGTAATAATGCTGGCAATTCAGATATGGCAAAAAGAATCTTCAAAATGTTTTCTGAAGTGAAGAGGTGAAAGTTCTTGACTTAATAAGGAAAGGAAAAATGTCTTATGTTGAAGTTACTGCAATCTGTGGTAAGAATGAATTTTCTATATATTGAATTTGTAAAGAAGGAAAAAATAAATTCATGCTACTTTTTCTGTCACACCTCAAGCTGCAAAAGTTATGGCTACAGTATATGAAATATGCCTAGTTCTTCTCGTCACTTTATCTCATTACGTTGGCATTGTATCATCTTACAACATCAAAGCAAGAAAGGTGAATGTAGTACAAAAAGACAGTTTGAGAAAGAGAGGGAAAAAAGAGAGGCCACATTCATATAACTTTCATTACACTATACTGTTACAATTGTTTCATTTTATTATTAGTTACTATTGTTAATCCTTTACTGTGACTAATGGGTAATTTAAACTTTATCATAGGTACACATGTATAGGAAAAATATAGATATATGAAGTTTACTACTATCTATGGTTTCAGGTATCCACTGAGGGTCTTGGGACATATTCTTTTGTTATAAGGAGAGCTACTGTATACATTTGTGACTTGTAGATATTCAACTAGGTCTGAAACATTTTAACAAATCCTCTGGGAAAAGATGTAAATGATTTAAATTTTTACAATAATTTGTGAATTAGTGAATATGCATTTAGGCAGGCAGACAAATGAGTGACTATTATTTTGTAGATAATTTCAATGAAGGCAATACTGAATTAGGAGGAATTTACAGAGGAATTCTCGTGATTAAATGAGTAGATGCAGTGCTGAGCACAAAAGATAACATCTAAGGTATTAATGACTGTGCTTCTCTGGTATACAGCAGCTATCAACTTCTCAAACTCATCTAGAGTCTACCATGAACTTCCTCTCCAACCTGAAGTCTGGTGTACCATATCATCAATAGCATCAGTTCTTGGTGATCTTCTTGGAATGGGTCACTAGCAGAAGCAAATGAGACTTGGTGTGAACAGAGAACAGTTTTATCATTTCAACACCCAAGTTATGAGCATTCTTCAATTATCACCATTTATATTCAGCCCAGTAACACTAACACTTGTGCCAAATCAGGATTATCCTTAACTTCTTAAAACCAGCAAGCAATAGGTATGCTTTGGCCTCATTGAGTGAAGGCAAAGTGCCTTGGACTGCTTATAAAATAGTAAATTTATAAAAAGCGACAAAGCTTACTTTATTTTTTAATATTAAAATTAACATTAAATATGCAACATGTAACATTAATGTAGTGTAATGTATTTTAATGTAACTTTAAATGTAAGAGGGAAGCTGTCTGGAGCCTATGGATTTGACGTGTCTGATAAATGAAAAGACAGTGTACAGGTTTAATTTCTTTTTATTTGCTTTCAACATTAATGGATGTCTCATAACTAAGAATTCTGTAGTTTTATTTGACATATAAGCTC